CTTCATAGTGTCACACTTTTCCAAGAAACCATCTATATGATTCACTGGGCAATCAAGAGGTGTGCCAGCAAATGAATCATTGGATATGAATTGAATAAACTGCGGTTTCAATTCAAAATTCTGAGCGGTGATAGGTGGTCTAACAATGCTAGAAAGGAGTCCGGTTGTTGTGTCAGGGATACCGTACTCCAAAAGAGACTTTGTTGCTTGGTCTTCCATATTTCTGTTACCTGCTCTTCTTCTACTTCTTCGTCTTCTTGCAGTCGCTTCAATTTCTGAATCGAGAGGCACTAAGTCGTCTGACCCTGAGCGACGTGTTTGCATACAACAAAGAACTAGGCAAAGAACATCAAAAACACAGGAGGCAATAGCCGAAGCAACAAACAACGCTTAGTAAAAACGAATCACGGAAAATCAATATGAAAACCGTTAGTCCCCGGCAACGGCGCCTCGGGAAGATAACGCCACCAGGACAAGGGGGGAATGAATTCATCCTCGTAGCAATCGACTATTTCACCAAATGGATCGAAACTGCCTCATATGCTAAGTTAACAGCAAAACATGTAGCTCAATTCATTGAAAAAATATCATATGCCGCTATGGGGTACCTCATGAGATGATCAGTGATAATGGAACACATTTCCCAGCCAAATGCGCGGAATTGTTACAGAAATATCATATCAAGCATCACAGATCATCACCCTATAGACCACAAACAAATGGTGCGGTCGAATCGCCCAACAAAAATGTGAAAACTATCATCGAAAAGATGACAGAAAATTACAAAGATTGGCCAAGTAAGCTACATTTTGCCCGTTAGGGTTATCGAACCTCTGTTCGTACATCAACGGGGGCTATCCCTTTCTCTTTGGTCTATGGAGTTGAAGCTGTACAACCAATAGAGCTCGAAATCCCTTCTCTCCGAATCGCGTTGGAAAGCCAACTAGATGAAGTCGACTGGATTAGAGCAAGATATGATGAATTAGTCTTACTTGACGAAAAACGCTTGGCAGCTTTGCATCATGGTCAAACCTACCAAAAGCGTATGGTGCGACATTTCAATAAAAAGTCAAGATTAGGAACATCAAAGAAGGTGACCTGGTGCTTAAGGAACTTCGCAAAAATGTGTTGGATCCAAGAGGAAAATTCAGACCTAATTGGCCAGGCCTGTACATTGTTAAAGACATCTAGTCTGGCGGAGCGGCATAATTGGTCGACATGGACAGTAACGGTTTCCACAATTTAACCAACTTGGATCAACTCAAGAAATTCTATGCCTAGTTGCATGGGTTCATGACCCAATAGAGCTACGTTTGGTCTGATTCCTTTTTAAGGATACGTAGGCAACCCTTTAAGGGGGCCCGACCACTTAAAAAAAAAATCCTCCCTCCGTCGATCAAGTACACGCGCCAGTTCAGCATTGCGTCACGACAAAACGGAGCTAAAATGAAAAAAAAGGTTGTCGCGCCACGGGAATACCCACCGTGTCATGGCAGAGTCCATCGTGGCGCGGTGGAATTGCAGCAAAAGAAAAAAAAAGGGAAGTTGTCATGCCACGGGACTATCCACCGTGCAACGGCAGAGTCCACCATGACGCGGTGGAATTGCACCAAACAAAAAAAAAAGGAAAAAAAGTTGCCGCGCCACGGGAATTTCCAACTTGTCACGGCATTTTCCACCGTGGCATGGTGGAATTTCAGACTTTCCGATTTTTTTTTAGTGACACAATCTTTGCGAATTCAGTTATTTGTTCGCCCTTTTTTTATTTTCATTCTTCCATTGCGTCCGACTTCTTGACTCGGATAAAAAAAAAAGAAGTCATTTTAATTTTTATTTAAGGCGAAAATAAATATGATATTATTATTGAAATAAATGTGACTACAATTATTGGCATCATGCGCCTTTTTTTAAAAAATTATAAATCATATAAGCAATGCAATACTGATCTAATCCTTCTTCACTTTAGGAACCTCCTTCTCTTTTTCAACTATGTCGGCCTTCAACATTAATGTGTCTTTTGTAGCCCAAACCATCACACCCCTAGTCGAACTTTCACCCCTTTCACCTTTCTTAAAATTCTTTAGATGCTTCTCTCTATAAACCATCTTCTCCTCACTCTTCCCTTTCACATAATTCTTCCTTTTAGGCATTATAGGAGTCTTAAACTCAATCCCTTGTGTTCTCGGACCTAGACGATCTTTAGGTGGCACTTTCTTACTTCCAAGACGGCTCTTCACATCAAAGTTGCGTGATCCGACTCGATCCCTTCTACTTCTAGGATTCAACCATGCCTTGTATGCACTAGATAAGGGAGGAGGAGCTTGGTTACTTGCAGAAACGGTCCACAAAGGTCTTCCAATCCAATAAGTCTCGTACTTGTGAACGTTACTTTCATGCAACGATACTTCACGAGGACTATCATTATAGCGTCAGACTACTTGTTCAAGTCCATACTGTCGCATCAATCGAGAAGGACAATAAAAAGTCAGTCTTGAGATACTAGGGACACGGAAATACGGAGTATCATTCGTCCCAACCATCCTAGTAATCCTCCACCAAGGCACCACCCAACGAATGGAAAATTCTCTCTTTGCAAAGAAATTCTTCCAATCTTCGTACGACATGTTAACAGAGTAATTCTTCTTCCTGCGAACTAGATCGTTGGGACCATATTTTTCAATATTTTCGGGGGCTTCAAAAATTTCTAAACGCTCCATCAGCTAAATCTGCAAAACAAACAAAAAAATCAGTCGAAAAAAAATTGCAGATTACATCGTGACACGGCAAAATTCACCGTGTCACGGCAGAAGTGCACCGTTAAACGGTGCCTGTTTTATGTCACAGGGGCTACTCAGAGCATGTTTTTACCTGCAGCAGTACTAGAGAGCCCTTCCTGATGGCTTTTCGATCAGCTTTTGCTTCGTCAAGGCCGCGAAAATTTTCTCCAAGGCACGTAGGCATAGGAGACCTCCCATATTCAACATGTTCAAGCATAGATGGTAGACAAGCATGTCATACACTACCGTTTGCAAATAAAAGACTTGCTAAACATGCAAAAAATATAAGCCCTTCTACGGTATACATGATAAGACTCAGAGACAGGGTGATTGAAATATAAATTTGCAAGTTTTTCTAAGTCTACCTCATTACCACACACAATTCTATTTAAATCTGGATCTGTTAGATTCAGATGCGTTCAAAGTCTTTGTAATAATACTCACGTAGGGTAGGCATGGCAATAAGATTATTGGCAAGAAACCCAAAGATGGCACCGAATTCCTCCGGCAGGAGACATATTTCATCGTAATCAAATTTAAAACAATGTGTTTCTAGACTCCAATAGTCTAACGCTGCCCTAAGAAAATCATGTTTAATCGCTACATGTCTCAGGGCTAGTAAACCCCTGACATGAAACAATTCCAACTCTCTTTTGTCAGCATTGGTCAAAGAATAAGACCAATCGCGCAATGTATTATCAAAATTCTGAGACATTATTATTGAAATACGAAATTCTAATTGTAGGGGATAGCTCCTGCTTAGCTATTCTTTCCAGCTGGGCTCAGTTAAGAAGAATGTTCCTTCAAGTAAAGAGTTGGCATGAGTGACCTCATACCACCTCTTGAGGGGCTAGTTTTATAGGATAGCTCCCGCTGAACTATCGCCCAGCCCCCAGGGTGCGCACTCACTACCGAGAAAGCAATTAAAGGAGGGCTCACTAGCCGGGCAGAGTCAGCCCGCAGGGCTGACTAGGATGAACTCTCCACGAAGGAGATGGTACGCCTATAAATAGAGGGTAAAGTACAACGGAAAGGGGTAAGACACTCAAGTCATTATACTTTCTACATCTTTCTAAGTACACTTTCTCTCTCTAAACACTCTGTAACTTAAGCTTCGGAGGGGGGTTCCTCGAGCCACCCCGAGGGCATTTTACGTGTGTTTCCTGTGTAGGTAGTTGACAAGACCCAGTTCACCCAGCAGAACCCTTGGATCCACACATGGAACAATTGGCGCTAGAAGGAGGGGAAGGATCATCTAACCTAAGGTTCACCAATTGAGCTAGGGACTAGTTAACTAACCACCATGGCCGGAGAAGAAACTGTACAAACACCCATGTCTAAAACTAATGATACCAGCCTAACACCACACAAAACACCCCCAGTAACCATCGATCAAAAAGGACCCACCGGAAACCCCAAATTGACCATCTCACAGAAATCCAACCCCATCGGATCGACATTAGCTGCTGCTACAACGACGTCGAAAACAGTAGATCCGGTGGGATCCAGTTCCATTTTCAAATACGGAATGCCGTTAACATGCGCGAACAATGAGCTCATTGTTTCAGCACTTGTAACCTAGAAACCGCAGCCCGTAAATATGCCAGCCATTCTGGAGCAGCTAGCTGCAATGGCTGCGGTCCTCACCAGTATGGGTAAGGGAGCAAGTCCGTCACCGGCAGGGGCAGCTGCGGAGCCCGTAGCGAAAAAGCCGGCGTCCACGACCCTCACCCCTGAGTAGAAAGAGCTCATTCAGCTGAGGAAGAAGGTATTGGAGCTAGAAGCTTATAACCTGAATCAAGAATGGAGCGTGGACGAAATAGCCCCTGCTCGAATCAGCCCGGAGAAGCGGGTCCCCCGCAGCAGGTCACCAGCCTCAGAGCGGGAACCCAGCCCGGAGAGAGACAAGCGAGCGCGAATCCAAGTTGTTTTAGATGATTCCCCATTTTGTCGGGAGATTCTGGTGGAACCAATGGAGAAAATAAAGATGCTAAGCTGCAAATACAACGGAACCACAACACTCAAAAGCCACATATTAGCTTTTGAGAACCACATGGTACTTTACACTATGACAGAGTCAGTCTGGTGTAAGGCTTTCCCGCCCACCCTAGAGGGGCTGGCGCGGAGTGGTATGGAGCCATTCCCAAATGTTCCGTATACTCGTACATCCAGTTTAAGAGAATGTTCATGGAGCATTTCATAACCCTGGTAGACCGAACCAAGATGACAACCGAGCTGATGTCGTTGGTTCAAGGGATAGACGAGCCCCTGAGGGAGTTCATCACAAGATTCAACAAGGAGGAAACAACCTTCCCAAATATGAGCCAGGAGGTAGCGCTACTAGCAATGCAGAGTGGCTTACTACCGGGATCACCGTTCAGAGCGTATATGGGGCGTAAGAGCCTCAAAACACTTGCTGAAGCGCTGGGAAAAGCGCACGAGTTCATCAAAGCAGACGAGACTGACAGAGCAATGCTGGGTAGAAAAGCACATGGTGACTCATTTAAGCGGTCAGAGGTCACCCGGGCAGAGAACCCACCCAGAGTGGACCAACCGAGCAGGGCTGAGCAAAACCGCAGAGAAGCGGACAGAGCAGTAGGACTGAGAAGGTCATAACCAAAGAGAGGGCCAAGGCTTGGGAGGTTTAACCAATATACCCTTTTAACCCATTCCAGGTGTCATATATTCAGCGTAGATAAAGCTGACGACAAGTGGCAGAGACCCCCGAGGATGGTTAACAGGAATCGTGATACCAACAAGTGGTCTGACTTTCATAGGGACCATGGTCACACCACTGAAGAATGCACACACTTGAAGGACAACATAGAGGACTTAGTTAGGAGAGGGTACTTGAATCAGTTTAAGCAGCACGATGACCTTCCCAGAAGGAGGGATGAGGATAGAGCAGGCCTCCCCGACCGCAGAGGAGGTCATAGGGGCCCAACCGGAGGCAGAGACATAGATGGCAGGCCAGAAGGCAGAGTGTATGTGATCAGCGGGGGTCTAGTACATGGGGGAACAGTTAACAGAGCACAGGCTGACCTGCGGGCGATGATACATCAAATAAATTACAATGATAAGCGTAGATGGCCACCTCTTCCCCCGCAGGCGTGGGCCACGTTTGACGAGTACGACCAGAATTGCATAATTTACCCTCATGATGACCCGCTGGTGGTCACAATGAGAATCGCAAACTAGGAGGTGGATAGAATACTGATAGACGGAGGCAGCTCAACCAACATCATATACATTAGTGCATTCAACGAGCTGAATTTGGACAAAAAAGACCTGAAGTGGGTGAGCTACGAAGTCACCGGGTTTAACGGGTCGAGGCTTAGCCCAGAGGGTATAATCGAACTCTCAGTCCGAGTAGGGGAAAGATCAAGAAGGCGTGATGTCCGGGCAGAGTTCCTTGTGATAAACTTCCCTTCACCCTACAATGTGATCAAGGGAAGACCGCTCATCCACAAGATAGGCGGGGTGGTATCCACCTATCACCTTGCCATGGCCTACGCAAGTAATGAGGGACGGTTAGCAAAGCTCAGGGGAAGTCAGAAGACAACCCAGCAATGTTACATAACTGCCCTAAAGCAGCCCGCAAAAACCAGACATCAGCCTAGTTCTGAGAGAAGGCCCTCTGAGCAACCTGAGAGGAAGTCGAGGAAAAGGAAGCGTGAAGAATATCACAGGGAAAAGAATAAACAGAAGTTAGCAATGGAGAACTTCGAGCCTGCAAAAGAGGAAATGGCCAGGCCACTTCCCAGTGGGGAGCATGTCACAGTTGAGCTCACAGAAGGTGACCCCTTAAGGACGGTGGAAATCGGGAAAGGCATTGATCCAGGAGTAGGGGTACACCTCATAGAGATAATGAGCAAGAACAAAGACGTTTTTGCAATTTCCGCAGATGAGATGCACGAAATTAACCCAACAGTCATGGTACACAGGCTGAATGTGAAGGAGGATATTAAGCCAGTTAGGTAGAAAAAGTGAAGCTTCTCCACGGAGAAAAATCAAGCAATTCAGGAGGAGGTGGAGAAGCTCCTGGAAGCGGGATTCATTGAACCTTGCGACTACCCAGAGTGGTTTGCCAACGTGGTCATGGTAAAGAAAGCAAATGGCCAGTGGAGAATGTGTGTTGACTTCACAGATCTTAACAAGGCCTGCCTGAAAGACTGTTACCCGCTGTCGCGGATAGATCAGCTAGTCGACTCAACCAGCGGGCACGCCCTGCTAAGCTTCATGGACGCCTTCTCAGGGTACCATCAGATCAGCCTATATGAGCTAGACAGGCAGAAAACTACATTCATCACTGAAGGGGGAGTGTATAATTACATAGCTATGCCCTTCGGGCTGAAGAATGCTGAGGCAACTTTTCAGAAGGCAATGGATAGAGTATTCCTTCACCAGAAGAGCAGAAATGTTGAAGTATACGTTGACGACTCAATTGTTAAGAGTGTCACACAGACTGGACATATCATGGATATGGAGGAAACATTTTCCACCCTGAACAAGTATAAAATCACACTCAACCCGAAGAAATGCGTCTTCGGAGTGAGCTCGGGAAAGTTCTTGGGTTTTCTGATCAGCGAGAGAGAGATAGATGCCAATCCAGAAAAGGTCGAAGTAGTCCTCAGCCTGCCTGAGCCTAAATGCATCAAGGATATCATGCGATTGATAGGCAGAATGGTCGCGCTGACCAGGTTCATCAGCAAGTCAGCGGATAAGGTCATGTCGTTCTGTCAGCTATTGAAAGGGAACAGAGAATTTAAGTGGGGGGCTAAAGAGAAAGAAGCCTTTGAGGGTATTAAGAAGCATCTGACTAAACTCCCAACAATGATCAGCCCGGAGCTGAGAGAAAAGCTGCAGTTGTACATCTCTACGTCGATACAAACAATCGCAACCATTTTGTTGGTAGAAAGACAGAAGCAACAAAGGTCAATATACTTCATGAGGCACGTGCTAATCGAGGCAGAGCAAAGGTACCCATTGGTAGAGAAGCTAGCCTTCGCAGTGGTCACAGCAGCAAGGAAACTAAAGCCATATTTTGACGCGCATGTAATAGAAGTTCTCACAAACCACCCGCTGGAGAATGCATTACAAAAAATGGATGCATCGGGCAGGCTCTTAAAATAGGCAATTGAGCTTTATGAGTACGAATTCGAGGTCAAACCTAGAGCAGCCATCAAGGCACAAGATCTAGCAGACTTCATAGTGGAAGCCTCCTACGAGGAAAAAGAGGATGATATAGGGGTCTGGAAGGTGGAAGAGGATGATAATGACATCTCCAGAAGGAAACGTATTCGAGTATACAATAAAGTTCAAGTTCAAAGCATCGAATAATGAAGCTGAGTACGAAGCGGCGCAGGCAGGCCTGCGTATGAGCGTCGCAGCCGGAGCCCGCAAAGTACACCTTCAAACTGATTCTCAGCTCGTTGCCAGCCAGCTAGCTGCAGGGGGCATATGAGATAAGGGATGCCACCATGCTGAAGTATGTAACCAAGGTAAAAGAACTGGTAGCCCAGCTAGTCCATTTCTAGATAGACTTGGTCCCTAGAGCAGGAAACTCTCAGGCCGACGCCTTGTCCAAGTTAGCTAGCTCCACCTTACAAAGCCTCACAAGGACAGTGATGGTCGAGGTGCTAGAAGAAAGCAGCATTGCCGAAAAAGAGCAGGTAACCTGCATAGAAAGGCAGAAAGCCTGGTTCTCAGACATCTTAGCATACAAGGTCCACGGCTCACTGCCCGATGATGATTTACAGGCTAAGAAGGTGAAGAAAGACGCCAACTGGTATGTAGTGATTAATGGGGAACTCAACAAAAAAGGCTTCTCAAAACCATTGCTGAGGTGTATTCCAGAGTGGGAGCAGGAGGGCATTATGGAAGAAGCCCACTCCGAAATATGCGCCAACCACATTAGTGCAAAAGCATTGGGAGTGGAGGTCCTTAGAAGGGAAGCGTATTGGCCAACTCTTACACAAGACACACTAGCATATGTGAAAAAATGCGACAAGTGTCAAAAGTATTCACTAGTCATAAATCAACAAGCAAACGATCTAACCCCAATCCTCAGCTCGATCCCGTTTGCTCAGTGGGAAATGGACATATTGGGACCTTTCACCACTGGGTCAGCGGGCAGGAAGTATCTCATTGTGGCGATAGATTACTTTACAAAGTGGATAGAAGCCGAACCCACTAAGTACATAAAGGCATCCCAAGTAAGGTCATTCATATGGAAAAGCATCATCACAAGATTCGGGGTGCCACAGTGCATAGTCTTCGATCATGGGTGCCAATTTGACTGTGACACCATAAAAGACTACCTGGGGGACATGGGCACCAAGTACGCAAGTGCCTCGGTCTTCCACCCACAGAGCAATGGTCAAGTAGAAGCAGCAAACTAGCTGATCCTGACAGCCCTACAGAAGAAGCTGGAGGAGTACAAAGGCCTGTGGGAAGACCTAGTCCCAGAGGTCTTGTGGGCAAATAGGACCACTGAGAAGAAGTCAACTAGGAAGAGCCCCTTCACCTTGATCTACGGGCTGATGCAGTTTTATCAGTGGAAGTACAAATCCCTAGCCTGAGGATACAACACTATGAGCAGCAAGGAAATGAAAAGCGTATGCTGGAAGAGCTAAACTTCCTGCCAGAAGTAAGGCTGAAAGCAGCTCTCAAGTTGGCAGCCTAGAAGAGCAGGATTTCAAAAGCTTTCAACAAGAGGGTCAAGCATAGGGAGCTCCTGCTCGGAAACTTAGTCCTTAGAACGACAACAGCAGTGGGAATAGGAAATCAGCATGGAAAGCTATCAGCAAACTGGGAAGGCCCTTTCATCATTCACGAGCAAGTTGGACCAGGAGCGTTCCTCCTTGCAGATCAAGTAGGTCAGCTCTTAAGAAACATTTTCAATGCAGATGTGTTAAAGAAGTATCTTGTTTAAGCAGCCTAAAAAAAACATGTTTTAAGTCTGATAAACTCTTATTCAGTCCATGTTATGTTAATTAAGGCATTTGAGCCATTTTTATTAAATGAAATACAAGCCTCTACGTGAGGAGTATGTTGCTTAAATTTGTTTAATATGTTATGCCCAAGCATCATATGATACTATGCAGAAGTCAAATAAAGATAATAATAAAGTGTTAGAGGCAAGAAGCACTGTAGCGCAAAGTGGCAAAGTAAACACATCCCTCCCTAAAACCTCACCTCACCTGCTCACAGCAAAACAGGGCACCACCTCGGGGACGCCTGAGGGGGAAGCCTGGCACGTTTAGCTTGAGCAGGAAAGGGAAGAGGAAGGAAGAAGATGAGCTATGTAGGCAACACTAAGGCTCTCTTAGTCCCACTTAGCCCATATCTTTGAGGGGGAGAGGAAAGGAGAAGACAACCAGACAATAAGCCCTTACGAAAAGAAGTAAGTAGGCACAAAATGACAAATTCGCAGCATAAAAAAGCTGAACGACATAAATAAGTCGCAGCATAAAAAAGCTGAATGACATAAATAAGTTGCAGCATAAAAAAGTTGAACGACATAATAAGTCACAGCAAAACAAGCTGAATGATAACTCACAAAATGGCAAGTCGCAGCATAAGTAAGCTGAACGACACATATAAGTCACAGCAAAACATGCTGAATGACATAAAAGGAATAGGCAAAAAGCTGATCGACACAAATAAGTCTCACCAGGGGTAGATTAAACAGCGCGCAATCAAACAAACCATCCAGCGCACAGGCAAAACCTCTGGTCAGAGCCAAGCGGAGTGCGCAATGCATAAACACTTAGAGCAAATAGAGTAAGAAGGATAAAATGTGACAAAGTTCCTGCTAAAGCACAATAGAGTACAAAGAAGCTGGAAAGCGCTAAGCAACTAAGCCAAGAAGATAGGGAGGCCCAACCTACGAGGCCCCACCATATGCAATAAAGATGCTGCAGCGCTAAAAGATCTGGATACTGCTAAAAAATGCATAGTTCCCGGCAATTGTGCAAACAATAAAATAAACAATAGGCAAAGCAACAGAAAAGGATCACAAAGAGCATACATTATAAAGCTGAACCCCTGCTCCCCAAGGCAGAGTAAACATTCAACAAGTCAGTCGCGGGACAAATAAAGTTGAGCCCTCGTCCACCAGGACAAGGAAACACTCAGCAAGTAAAGTTAGGAGAACAAAATCCAAGTTAAGCTGGGCAGACCTAACAACAAAAGATAAAGTATTCAAGAATGACACAGAGAAACATATTCTTTGGCAGCTATACACCCCAAAGATAGTAACAAAAACTACCTAGTTACAACAGATCTGGGTGAGGGAAACTCAGAGGAACCACTGGAGTAAGAGGGTGACAACCGCCATAACCTTTATTGATCACCAGTCAAGGACTCTACTCCAATAGCTGCAGCAACGTCAGGGCAGAGAGGCAACTCCAAGTTTAGCACAGCCTGGTTGGGAATCTTGCAGCCAGCAGCACGAGGATGATCGGCAGGGAGGTCAAACAAACTAGCCTCACCTGCAGCTTCAACCTTAGCCTAGAAAGCGTTGAAGCGAGTCTTCTGCTCCTCACCTTCACCATATAAACTGCTAACGCACCGAGCCGCAGCTTCCCATCCACCATCATGGCGACCAACCAATAGCTTAGCAAAAGCAGGAGAGAGCGCAAAAGATCTGAGGGCCTCTTTCTTAGCAGCCTCAAGCTCAACAGTATGCGTAGCCCGCAGATCTGCCATTTCCGCCTCCAACGTCTTCACCCTAGCCTGAGAGGTCCCCAACTATTCCTCGCAGCTCTTCAACTTAGTCTGAGTGAGCTGAAATTCTCCCAACTGGAGCTGCAGGGCATCCGCCCTCTCCCTCAACGGAGTCACCTCACTGGCCATGGCATCCTTTTCACCCTGAGCTTGTTGAACCTCCAAATTCCTTTGAGAGAGAGTTATGCCCTGATTCTAATGCTCCTTCTCCACTAATTGTAGAGTGTTCGACAAATCTCCAACAGACATAA